ATAACATTGTTGAGACAGCCAGCGGCAGAGAACTCATCCAAAAAAAACCGTACCCAGGATATCTCAGGCTCCTCGGTCGCCGCAGGGCGGTCCGAAATCGTTTCGACCTGAGCGATCGGGCGAAATATCAGAAGCAGCGTCCAGAGAACTGAGGAACATGTTGCAGAGCAGCCGAGGTGAACGCGTCTGGGACACCCTTTGACGAAAGGGTGCTGTCGGTCCTCCGGTCAGGGTTGCTTTTTTGGTCGGGAGTCGTCCGTACTCTCATAGATGACGACAGAAGATCAAGCACCATAGCAAAATGGGCCAGTGTGACTTGTTCACTGTTCTTGATCGATAGTATTTCTCCGTGGCATAACTGATATCCGGACGATAGGCGGAAGTGTGCGGGATATGGAATTTCCGTCCAGAGGACGAGCAGATGTCATCCAAGACACGGATCATCGTCGACATATGACCATTAGACAGCGCATATCACGGTCGCGTCGGATTTCGAGATGCGCGCGTGGGGCCAAGTTGGTGTCATCCGAGCGCCCACCTCCAAGCTCAGTATCGACTGACTTTCAAACAGATTTGTTGCCCAATCAGAGAAAAGAGAACCAGAAAAGCTTAAATCTTACGTAGAGATCGGCAGCATCAACAAGAGCCTCTCTAATACCTCAAGAGAGAGCGTTGACAACCGTTGGCTGTTGGCGTTTGAGGAAGGATGCGAGGTGCCGATCATCACCCCTTGACGTCTCACGTGGCTCCTAAGTTACCAGCCACCCTGATGACTTCCCGTCATCGCAGCAACAACAATATCACGAACTATTTATACACTGCTAGCTTCATGCTCTTCTCATGGATGGCACGCTGTACATGTTGGATTCTATGAAACACTGTCCAGTCACTGCGATGAAGATGACGTAGGCTGGCGCTGATCTTGGGAGCCACGCACTTCTATTACAATCTTTTTGGAGAACATCCCCTGATAGATGTCGGCTCTCAGACAACGACAACAAGTTATCCTCATCCTCAATCACCTAGCATCGACGCCAATATCCCGGCCCGCCAAACCCGCCTCCATATCTCCCTCCGAATCCACCGTGGTGTCGAGGAGGCCCTGTCATGACTACGACAGGGCGCCGTCGGCGAAACATCATTGGAGCCATCATGACCGGACGTCCCACCATCACAGGTCTGTGCATGCCGAAATCATCGTACATTGGCATAGCTGTATCCAGTCAGCTGGGTGTCAATGTGCTTGAAATAGGAGTACTAACAAGTTCCGCAACCCAGAGAAAATACTTATAGTAGGTGATAGAGATGTAACTGGGGTCGAAGGTGTGCAAGAATTGGATAAGGGCGCATCTCATCTTCGTGTCCATTATATAGAAGACCGCGTTTCAAGCCACCCGGACTACGGGTTTCTGTCTCTGCTGCTGGGCATATGCGCAGCGGCGAAGTTGTCGCAGACGTTCCCTGGCAGTGGGCCAAGAAAGAAAGGAAGTCACGTGATCCCCCCTCCACATTCCAAGCCAGCCAGACCAGTATAATGACTCGCATGGAACAAACGCCGGAGATACCAAGCAGATGTGTCCCCGAAGGTTGGGAAACTAGTCTAGGACCCGGTGGAATATCGACAGCGAGACATGTCGGCGCTTTGGGCGAGCCAGAGATCTACCCCAAGTTGTGTACAATCACGAAGACATGACACAAGTTGCGCTTTAACTCGGATACACATTACAAATCATGAGGTATGATACAGTGGTATAGCACAGAGGTGACCCCGAAGCCTGCTTCTTGTACATATGTCAACCACTCAACCAGTCGTCCATCGTCGCAAGCCGCCGTTACAGGCGTCGAACAATAGCCCCCTCAATACGGTATTAGCGCCGTTGTTGCGGGAACATAACCAGCCGGATAGCCCACCATTGCGGGGTCATAACGTCCACCGTAATCATGGAGATATCCGAGGCCGTCCCGGTAATGGTACGGATACTGGGCAGGAATCATTCCTGTCGCCGGATAGGCGTACCCCATCCCGTAGTTGCCATAGTACGGGTGTCCCATCGCACCCATTGCGCCCATGCCGTTCATGCCGTTCATGCCATAGGTCCCGTAGGTGCCGTATGTTGCAGCGTACGTTGGGTAGGTGTTATATGAAGGGTAGTATGGCATATCTAGAAGACAAAGTCAGTCTAGGCGATTGAACAGGGTGCTGCTAAGACTCACAACCTCCGTAGTAACTCATATTTGGGAAGGTATTTGTTGGATAGAAGATATTGATATGATACGGTGTAATGAAGATAACAATGGTACAGAGGATCGATGCAATCGTGAAGAACGCGGGCTGCCGCTCATTCTGTTCTTTTAAGCGTTTAGTCGGAGCAACCAGAGAGACGGGCAGTTCCGGCGCCAAGGCAAGGGGTAAAGGCAGTCCAATTGCCAGGACGCGTGATTGGACACGCGAGCCAGTGTGAAACAGATTAGACAATCAACCTGTGCCCGGTATTGCAAGGAAATGTACTGCAGTC